TGACCATTTTGACTGGTAGGAGGATGGCGGGAGACATATTTCTATTCCAATGGGGATCATTTACAGTAAATTTAAAATCAGCCTACGAAGGAAATTTACACAATGCCTTGATAGCATCTAAATATCATATGTCTATTAGCATACTATTACAAAGCTAGATGCCTTCCCCTGAATATAACAAAATAAACCGACTTGGTGACATCAGGTTTACAAAGTCATTTTGCTTGTCTGAGCCCAAGTTTCCCTTAGTGTCTGAGTCACCACCTTGGCCTTGGCATTTGCATTACGTGGAGGAAACCTCTTTCACAGAGAACTTACACCTTCCCAGGAAAAGAATGATGCCTCTATTTTTGCTATTTCATCGTCTCCAAGTTGGGAGAAACTTGAGCATGTGTACGAGATTGTTCAGAGAAAGTCAGTCTACAGAGGTTATAGTTTCACATTAGATAATGCTTGAAAGAGGACCAAGAGGGACGATGAGTCGGTGGACATTTGGTCTGAAACTGCTGCTCTCACCGACATGTGGTGATCACCTGCTGTGACAGGATTTTTTTTTCAACTCCAAAGAGTTCTGCTGTAGAAAAAGATCTCCAATTTGTTGAAGTTTATACAGAGATTGTTTTCAGTGGGGAGTGATGTGCCAAGCTTTGGGAGAGACAGGCAGCAGCGGGGATGTTTCCCAAGGCAGGAAACAGGAAATGCCAACCAGAGCCTACCACGTTTGACTGACGGGGAAGGCGTGTTCGCCATTTTCATAAAGAGATGTGCCTCTCAGCATCTGAGGTTGGGAGAAAGGAGCACAGATTGCGGTTTCAATACCATGGTAAAGAAGTGCCTTGTAATGAAGTCTGTTTGTAAAGAAGTTTTATAAACTGACTTTTTGAACACATCTTATAAAGTCTCATCTAGATTGTGCCTGAGACCAGGAGCTGGTTCCTGGAATGGCGTTATTTGTGCCTTTGACAAACCAAACCTGACTCCGGCCTTGCTAGCTCCCTGCTTTAAACTAACAAGCTAACCACGTAAGCTCATATTCTTAATGGACACAAATGCATGATCACTCCACGGATGCCTGAGACACAACTCACTTCACATTCGGTGAGAACAAAGAAAGAAAACTAGGTTCCACGCAGCCTTGTTCAGGAGGGGTTTCATTTGTCCGTAGTGTTCCTGACGAGTTCTTCATTCTCGGCCACTGCCCACCGTCACCTGCCTTCCTGCCTGCTCCCATGTGTCCCAATGTGTGCCACACACTTCCTTTTTCTTTTCATGTGAAATTTTAGTTGCATATTTAAAAAAATAAAAACACGGGGGTATTTGAAACTCTACAGTCCAACAGCACAGATTCAGGGGTTACAAGGTCAGCAACTACAATGACGTATATTTTTACAGTGTTTTAGCTTTAGTGATGGTATTGTTTCCACGAACACATTTTATAAGTAAATTATACTTGTGTTTATTTTAAAAGCTCTTGTTCTCAGGAAAAAAATCTTGGAATGAGGAAGTATTTTCCCTTTAAAAAAAGTTACCGCCATGTGGGTTTGGAGAAGGAAAAAGGAAAGCAGCAGCTAAGATTAAGTATACATGAGAAAGGGATAGATAACGAGAGTATCTTTGTCACAGAGCAACTGAGGGTTGAACGATCCATATGACACAGTGGAAACAGTGCCGACAGTAACTGCACAGTGTAAGTTGCTATCATTATCATCATTCCCAGCACGTCTCCGGGAATAAGCTCAGACTTTATTTTTCCTTTAAGATCTACTCAACAGTCTCATAATTCCAAATACAATAGTAGCTTCTCAATATACGGGAAAGACAATCCAATAGTTTTATGTCTTTGCTCTGTTTTCTGACATTTTTAATCATTCTTCATATTGGTCTGATGAAACAGCTGATATTCATTACTTAAAAGACAAAACAAAATAAATATTTTAAATGTTAAACACATTTGTGGATTACAAGCTCAACATCTGTGGCAAAGTTTCCACAGATAAAGCAAAATTCTCACTTTGGCTCTCTGGGCTGAGTTGTACTCCACAGCTGAACACTAGGTTTGTAGAATCTAATCTTTGTGAAGGTCTGAAATATGCAGCTCTCCCCCGGCCTCCACCTGTTGTTTGTGGTCGTTCAGAGAAGTGCTAGTGATGGGAAAACCTCAGACTCTCGGGTGGGTAAGTGCCCGAACACCCAATCACTTTGTAAAAATGTCTCCAAACCTCTTCACCTTGAAAGGATCCTAACAAATGAATGACTTTTCTGGAACCTACTGTTATCACTTAAAGAAGCCTCTCTCTTAGTATCTTTCCAGCTTGGTGTCAGGAATTAGTAAAGACTGTGGGAAATGAAATGAAATTCACAGGAAAAAAACAGAGTAGAAACTAACTTTTCTGGCAATGTCTTTAGTTTGCTATTCCTGGTTTCTGCAGACACGCGCAGTCTTACTATGAGAACGATGGATCTGCTCCCAAATGCCAGGCTGTTGGGCCAGCTCCGGGTGACCCACTGACCATCCCCAGCTCCTCCCTGCCTTGTGCCATGGTCCCCATTTTAAACAATTCAACAGACATTTGCATTTCAGTTTTTAAATGCATGCACAACAAATATAGTAATAAAGCTACTTCTAATATGAAAAGCAATTAAATATCATTTTTTTTTTACATGAACAACTCTTATAACCAGAGACCAGCAATTAGCTTTGCAATGATGTACCAGAGACCTGTGGCCTTGGAGGGTGATGTTCCTTCCATGAGCAGCTCCAGCCCTGTCCCCGTTTGCTACCTTATTTATCACTGGAAGAAGGTCATAAAACCTCTGCAGTCCTGGCCCTGATTCTGGGATCTTGATATTGTTGCTAAGAACCAACAGCCCAGTGGGTCAACCACAAACAACCAAGTTGTGCATCTTAATTTGTTTTGAAATGTGCTCCCTTCTGGTCCTCAGCTGAGTTTACATTCCTCTGCTTCTCCCAAATGCAGTGATCTCTGTAACTTCACTGAGACAATGGTCTTAGGACCAAAACACCCATGCTGCTAGCCTGCCACTGATGAGAATATTATTTTCTCACCAATAGCCACCTAAGTAATGCCGCTTGATAGCAAACACCTACAGTGGGGTCGTACACAAACAATAGTTCAACAAATGCTTCTTGAGCAAATTATTAAACAATGAACCAACTGTTGAAAAAAACTAGATGAGTTGGTACATGTTTTTAAATCTTTGCATGTCTGGACTAAAATGAAATTTTTCCAAGTTATAATCTAATAAATTGTAAGGCCCGTGAGAACAGGAGTGGTATCACAATCTTTTTATGTGATTTAAAAAAAAAGTTCCCCCACATAAGGTTACACTTGAATGGACATTCAGTAAATATTTACTAATTGGATCAAATTATATAAATTACACAAGATTCAGTTTTACAGCTTTAATTACCCACAGTAACTCTATAAAAGCACAGGTACTCCGAAGAAAAAGTCAGTTTCAACAACAGACAATCAAAATGAAAAGCCTAAGAAATCCTGTGCATTTAGTCTTCAGGTTTGCATAAAGTTACTGAGATAGTTTAGAAATGTGATGTCTGCCGCCCCAACCCCAATCCTCTGCACTTCGACTTCTAAGTGACATTGGCCTTTGTTTTAAACTCACAGCCAGCCCAGCAAACATGTCCTGGGATGGTTAGTCTTATTCTGGGGGACATCTGCCTCCACTGACGGGGAAGGGCAGAGAGAGATTGCTTCACAAGCCAAATGCTGATTCAGCCTTGACAGTCTCCCTGTTTAAGCATCTTGGCTATTTTCTCTCCTTTGCTCAAGCTTTTATTCTCTTTATACCATGATTCCTTAGGAATCTGTGCATAACGGAGAACCCTCTCCCTGGAACATACTTCACGTAAAGTGTTTGGGACTCAAATGATCTCGACACCTGCTTCAAGGGTCCCAGTCAGTTTGCAAGGGTAGGCCTGTCTTGTGGGCAGATGGCCTGGGCCGGGCTGCTAGAATCTGGCAATGCCTCAGCAATGTGAAATTGTGCATGTGCCCAATTTTCTATTTGTTAAGTAGAAAACATTTTCAATCAAATTTGGTGAATAATGCATGCCCCAACGTTTCTCTCACTAATAAAGAAGAGAAAGAAACTCAAATGGAGCAGAAGGCTAAAAGAATTTTTTGGTACAGAGGTTACTGCCCTATCAAGTGAAAGTTTGGAATCAGCAAGCAAAGCCATGAGAGCGGCAGAGACTATTGTTATGAAAACCTCTCCCGTGCCAGACATCAAGAGCAGAGCGAAGGCTTCCCTTTCTTGCATGGGGAGAAACGAGTGAAAACTGAGTGGGGTGTGCTGCATTCAATTACGAAGTGAGGCAAATGACAGAACTCGTTTTTCTTGCAGAAAAAAATGTATTAGAAATACGCAGGTAAGTCCCTTTTTATTTAAAAAAAGCACAACCAAGTGTTTCAGCCTTATTAGTAAATGGAACAGCTTGCTCATCTGGGTAGCCAATCTGTTACTGTCTTGCAAGTTTGGGGTTGATGTGGCTACATATTCTTTCCACCCTTCCCACTGCCACACATTGTTGGCAAATGTCTCCATTACCTGCAGCAAGGAGCGGTAACATCAGAACACATCCCTGTCTACCAGAAAGAATACTTTCAATCAGCAACATTAAATAGCAGTTTAGATAGCTTCCTACTTGCATGGCAGGCAGCCAATAAGAATTGGGAGAAAGTTCTAGGTGAATAATTGGAGATTGGACATGGGATATCAGAATTAGCCAAGCTCCTCTTTGGGGCCTATAATCATTCATATATAATCATTCATATATATATATATATATATATATATATATATATATATAAAACACAATTAGCGAAGCCCTGTTTTAACCCATTTTGAATGTGGCAGTGATGCTAAGGGATGAGGGAGCAAAATTAACGGTGGGCAGGAATATTCTCCTGAGAACCCAACAGGTGGTCCACGGAACTGAACCAGGCAGTCTCCTTCCTCTCACGGTTAGTTCAGTGGCGTGTCTCATACTTTTGTGGAGGGAAGGCCGTGGGAGGGCTAAAGGATAAGGAGCTCTTGAAAAGGCAATGCTCTGTTACCAGGTGAACAAAAAAATCTACAAAAACAGATTTGCTGCTGTTAAGTAGGCATTCTAGATAAGTTTTATCTACACTGGCCATCAAGGTAGACTCAGTCTCTGACGTGCTGCTGTGACCTAAGGGACGAGAGTGCAGAAGCTGCTGTTTCCTCCTGAAGCTGAATCATTTCATGTAATGTGACCCGATTTTACTGAGCATCACTGCTGAATGACCAAAAGGCTCGCGGAAGTTAAACTCACTGCCCTAGCAATCAACCAAAGGACAGCACAACTGTGAACATAATTCTTTCTTTCAGCGGCTCGGGGCTGAGAGAAGAATATTATCAGAGGCCATAGGAGACGAAAAGGGAATTCCCATTGATAAAATCAGCTGTTCCTGGGCAGCCTGTCCTAACCACAGCCCTCTCCATGGCCCGCTTCTCCACGTTTCCTCGTCTGGGTTACCCTCACCCGTCCCTGCAGAAGTGCTCCTGCACTCAGGAGGGCCTCCCAGGGCTTCACCTGGATGAGGAAGGAAAATGAAACTGCTCACAAGGGGCCTGACACTGGGGCCTGGCGCTATTTTTGCTCACAGAGTCAACACTTGCATGGACACAAAAACAAAATTACTTGAAGCCTAATACCTGATATTTAGCCTCATACCGAAAAACTTTTATTTTGGGTTTGTTTTTTTTAAAGCTAAAATGTTATTGAAAACAAAATTTTCTCGACTAGCTGCTTCGGAACAATATACTGTATTATGAAGCTCTCTCTGTACATTGTAAATGTTTCTGAAACAGGACAAAGTTAAGTCCCCCATGTTTTCCCGTGAATTTTGAAGTTGAAACCAACGTCTTCCACTTCCGAGCTCTTCTGCATCAAGACCAAGCTGTTGGATGGAAGGAGCCACGTGAAAAGTGCATGAGGAGCGAGCACGGAAAGCAGAAACGGAACGCCCCTGGGGCTGAGGATGGCACCGGCTGCGCCAAGGCCCTCGCTTCTGCTTCCGCGTCCCCACGGGGCCACCCGCGCGAGGCCACGCCGAACTGGAACAGCAGGAAGAAGGGCTGTGCAATGGGTCCCCTTGAATCATGCTACTCGAAAAAGGTGCGATGAGAAACAAGTCCCTGTGCATTCGTAGTCACAACTGTGGGCAGAAGAACCCATATGATTTCTCCCTTTGGTATTAAATAAGAGTTTTAAAAAAGCTTTTCAGAAACAAAGCAAATACATGGTGGTACTGGAACTGTTGGCCATCCCAGGTGAGTCGTCCACTGAAATAAGTCTAATCCCTAGTCATAAATAAATAATCTTTCTCCCGGTCTGACTTCCATGCCAGGATCAATAGCTCTTAACATCTTACTTATTTTATTACTGCTTTTGGTTTTCTGGGACTGATTGAAAGTTGCTCAGAGGAAATCTTTGGTTTTGCTTAAGTGTCCGTGACATTTAATCATGACTTTCCTTGCAGTTTAATTCCAACCAGTCAATCAGTTAATCCACTTCGATTGATTCCGGGCTCTCGGTTATTGGCTTGCACTCATTGGGCATCCGCTGATGTCGGCTCAGCTGGGTGGCCTGTGTGAAGCTCCTCTCACACCTCTCGCACCTGGTGGAGGCAAGAGAGAAAATTGAGACCAGGGAGAGGGGCCTGCGGGGTGATGGGCGTCCTCTCATCCTGCCTAATCAGAACAGACACTCCAAAGTGGCTTCAGATTTTCCTGGCTCAAGTGGTTTAATTGGTGGCTCCTTCCAAGGACTGGATGCCTGTGATGGGACAAAGCCCGTCTGATGCAGAACAGAGGGATCTGTCAATAGGCAAGGGGAAGGTGATTTCTCCAGAGAGCCCTGTCCTGCTGCAGCTCTGATCACTGTCAGTTCAAATAGATAAAGAACAAAAAGAGATTTTTAGGAGTGAGCCATCAAAGCGGCAGCTTGTCTGCAGTTTTCTGCTCCGTAACCCGAAAGAGAAATTGATGACAAATAGAATTTCACCTGCTGCTAATTTAAAATCAGGACTCCTGCTCCCCTCAAAACAGCAGCCAAGGAGTGATCATCTCGGAATTCGGAAACCAGAGGAAGCAATGCATTAGTTTGCAGTGACTGTGGAGGGTGGGTGTGGGCAGTTGCTTTTGTGCAAAAGGTTCACTATGGCATCGCAGCCCAACCAAACTCAGGATTGAAACAATGTTTGTGGTTGGGTAGGAGGTCAAAAAATCTGAAATAAACCAATGTTTGTGTGGTTCACGAAGTACACCCTTTCGGAAAGTACAGTGGAAAATCGTCCTTGTGGGCCATAATTAAGGGACAGTGTCTGAGGAGGACAAAACTGGTTTCACACTTTAAGTCTGTCTCCTCTCCTTAACTTAAAAAAAAAAAAAAAGATTGTAATCTAGAAACACTGGCCTGACCTCTCTCCTAGGCAACACATGTTTACTAACTCGATGGCTACTCAATCCACACCACACACACACACACACACACACACACACACACACACACACACACACACACACGGCAGCCAGCGGGCCACAGGGCTTCTCCTTCACCTCCCTGCAGTCGAGGCTGCTGGTAGCACCGGCCACACACCCGTTAGGGCACAGTCACCACCACAGCCATCTCCTAACATCCTCTTTGCAAACCTTTGGAGGGAAAGATATGCAGGAGAGCTGCAGACTAGAGTCTCTTTTAAATAACACAGCCTTTGGTCCTGGGTCCCCACACTATTGGGCATGTGGCAAAATCATCATGGAAAGCTCGTATTGCCCTAGTGTGTCTGCTGTCTTGTTATCAAGTGAGCAGTCGTCTCCTTTTCAGTAAATTATACAAAGTCCCTCGCCGCAGAAATAATTAACTATCAAAATAGAACACACCCACCCACTCTGGAGATCCGAGCACATTTCTGAGTGTTGGGGGCCGGCGTGTGGATACAGCCTTGGATTTTTCAGGGCTCTGTGCCAGCCAAGCGTGTCAGGGTGAAGAAGTTGTGTTTCTTTGATTGTCTTTCAGGGAATATTTTTAGCAGCCTGTTCCACTGTTAAAAACTGCACTGTGATCTTGACAAATGTATAATGTCAGCTTTAATGTATCAGACCTATCAGCTCAATGAAAATAACTCAGAAGTATTGATCAGCTAATGATTTTTGGTGTATTCATTAACGTCCACGGGCAGCTCATCCCCTCTCCGGAGCTCCTGAGGTGCTGATGACATGTTAGTGAATTGCTGATTGTTTATTCGAAAACTGATTAGTTACTGGATTAGAGTGTCAAAATATACTACCTTTCACTGCCTGACAAACTTTCAAATTACTATATTCCTTTTTTCTTTATTTTGAAGCCCTGGAATCAATTTCCACGAAAGCAGAACAGTTTGAATAATTATGAGGAATGACAATTTACCTGGATCACATTTTTGCACTTCTAACCTGTGGTTTAGAATGTAAAGATTTCAAAAGTGGGAAGTTTTGTGCTTCACTGAAGGCAATGTGTCTGTGTATATGCAATATTTAAACATCCAGATTGGACAGAGACATTAAAAAGAGGGTTACATTTTTTTCTCCAGTGTTTGCCTAAACACCTCCCAGCTATTTACTCAGGGGAACATTTGTTGTAATAGTTAGGAAATTGCTATGTCAGATCTCACCATGGCATGAGATCATTACTGAAAACTCATCTCTAGTGCCATCTGCCCCCAAGTGCGAGTAAAAACACATGTATAATGAGGCTACCAGACACATCTCTATGGTACGGGAATTAGAAGAATACAATTTGTATCAATGAGGAAGTAAGGAGAGCTAGATACAAAAATACTTTTTAAATAAAGGAAGGACCTCAGGTTTATGTATATCATCTTTAATTTTAGAAAAATTTCCTTCACAAGTTATTTTCATAGCTTAGTAACACTCACCAGAAGGACAGACTCAATGCAAATACCTAGATGCTAGCAGGCTGGGTCTGGACGTCAGCTGGTTTGGCATTTGACCCTGAACTATGATCCGAGAGGAAGCACTGCGCATGGGCACCTCTAAGCCTGGACTTCATGCAGGGGAGCAGAATGAGGAGGAGAGAGAGATGCAGGAAATGAGAGGGGAGCAAAGAAATGCTCTCACACACAGGGTCCTCTTCATGGTGATGACGTCACAGCCTTGAAGGGAGCATCGCAGGAACAGTGAAGTGGAAAGTCGGCGAAATATTTCAGCAAAGAGAAAGTCCCCAACTTTCTACCAGTTTGGGTGTTTTAATTAGACTTGATTTCCTTTTAGATTTGAGATCATTCTTTACTTACTGTGATGGTTGACTGGATTATAGGACAGGGAGTTTAACAATTACCATCTGAAATTGACAGAGATGCAAAATAAGGTCAAGTTCCGTTCCTTTCTGTGCCTCTACGAGCCGTCAAAAACACTTGGATCAAACTACGCTGCATAGGGCTTCGCACACAGGATGTGCCCCATGCATATTTCCTGACGTGCGTGTTTAATTTGCTGTGATTTTGTACTGAGATTTTGTACTGTGATTTTGTTTTATACTGAGCCAAACGGTCTTAGGGTGCAACGCAGTGATGAGTACTCTCCCTGCCTCTAACAGAAGCAGAGAGCCTCTGGGGTGGCAAGTCCTGCTCTGCCCGCACGCAGGAGCCAGGCATGAAGCAGCGCATGTGGGTCCTCCTGGGCAGAGCACCCGCCCTAGAAATCTTGAAAGATTACGTTTAGTGATAGAGGAGAAAGGATTTCTCATTGCATAGCATAAGTTTTAGACTGCCAGTTTTCTTCTTTTTCTCCTTCCTTCTTTCCCTCCCTCCCTCCTTCCTTCCTTCTCTTAATAAAAGTGCTTGGCCATTGCTGTTACATGAAATGACGTCTTGCTTTTGTTCCATGACTTGCAGTCTCAAGGTACAGCTGAGAGCTGAGACCTTAAATACAATCCTTGATGTGCATTTTCCCCATGTGCTCCTTGACCATGGGAAAGCTAAGTCTATGGCCAAGTCAGTTACTGACAGACCCAGGACCTACCTACAACTTGGGGGATGGAGCTACAGAGTGGGGATTCAGCCCATCAGACTGGAAGGGGAAGCCCGGCATGTAACTGATCTCTTAGTGCCAAATCTTTTCCAACCTTCTCTGGATGGCAACAATCTTGATCTGCCTTGAAAAACCATGTCTCCGCAGGTTTCAGGGGCTGGGAAGATGTGGCAGGCTCAGTCTCGTTTGGCCCATCAGAATTTGGGGATTGAACCATTTGGGGCATCTATCTGGAAGTGGCCCAAGGCTGACAGTTTAGGGTTGTACATCTTTTACAAGACTCTTTTCCTTCTTTGCGACATTGTTTAAGCCAATAGCCATTAGTTGAAGCAGTAAAGTTAACTGTTGTGGTGAAACCCATTTTACTGACTAATCTGCAACAAAAGTTTTTTTGAATGTTTGTCTTATCATCTTGTAAAAGAATATCTTCATAATATTTACAAATGTCCATGGGCTGTAAATAAATCCATGAGCTATGGTTGGAAGATTCCCAAACTCCCTTGGGACAGTTCAATCCTGACCACCCTGTGTACACTGAAGGTTTGGCTTTCCATTTCCTAGAAGATGTTAAAATCTTGCACTTATAAAATAAGCATACACTCGGTTCTAGCCCAGGAATACATATTTGATAGGTTAAAAACAGTCCCCTACAGCACACGGGCAGCCTTAATAAAAGTAGACCCAGAAGAAACTAAAATATGCACATAGCATTTCACCCAACCAGCTCCGGCTGTTTGCTCACTTTGTCCCCATACAAAATTAGGCTTTGGTCACAAAAGCATACTTTTAGAAAGGAGAAAGATAAAATTGCTGAAGCCCTTCAAAATAGTAATCTGATGAATTAAAAGTAAGTTAAAGTGGCAACGCTATTGGAAACGTGACAAAAACAGGGTGTTAAAGGAAAAAAATTGAGTGGAGTCAACAAGGTTACACATAAGTAACACCTTAACATTAATAGAAATCTATTTCCCATTTTGACCCTGAAACCTCTTCAATTAATTACTAAAATCTATTTACACAGCAACAAGGTGAAAATCAATTGGACCCCTGGCACTGCGTCTGGCTGGCTGCCCTCTCGAACACAAGGGCCAGAAGGACTGTCAGTCCTGCATCCCTGTTAAGAATCTCTCTTGCTCACATACCCCCGGGAAAGGTGCCACTGTCAGCTGCCACACCAGAGCAGTGGGGAGGCCAGAACCTGTGAACCCCCTGAGAATCAGGCCCAAGGGCAAGGACAGAGTGCACCTTGCAGGACACAGACACCTGCAATAGGGAAGTCTCGGGGCTGTGCTAGCCCACCTGGCCCTTAGGCCAGTATCTCAGAACCAGAGGTCTATCTCAGACCCAGAGGTCACAGTTGGCTGGCATTAGGACAGGCTCAGTTTTAGAACCCATCTGGTCCCTTTATCCAGATGTCTTTATGCAGTGAACAAGCTGCATGTATGTACCAAGACGAAAATGAAAACTACTTTTATTATTCATATCATAAGTTAAATCACAATGAAAGCCAGTTATGAAGAATGAATACAGGTAACTGATTCACAGGAAGATGAGTGAAGAAGACAGTCTTTCATAAGCTCCCTGCTCTGCTGGCAGAGCAGTGGTGGCAGGACCCAGACTAGCAGGACTCAGCTGACCCCGGCTGAGCCTGGCCGCCACCTGAGCGCCATGGCAACAGCCACGCCCAGAGGTCCAAGGGAAACTCATGGGTAATGAGAGTGTGAGAAGACCTGGCATATACTGAGCAAGGGCATTCGTCTCCTACTGCCTGAATCACTTCCTTTCTTGCTTGATCTTGTCTTATAGAAGGTAGGGCAGACAGTCTATGTATCTGTGCCCTTTTCATTTTCCTTCTGAACCAGGGAAAGCCAGTATGGTAAATGAGTAAAGAGAGATGTTAGAGGGCTGAACAGAAAAGAGTCCATTTCACAGACAATAAAAATAGTTTTGAGACGGCCGTCACACACATCACTTCACATATGCTACCTGGGCTACCAGAATGGCTTCTTCTGTCTATGCCTGGAAAACTCCTACTTATTCTTCAAAACACACCTCAGAAACAAAATAAAACAAAACAGAAACAGACTCATAGACAAAGAGAACAAACTGATGGCTGCCAGAGGGTGGGGTGGGGGGTGCTGGGGAGCTGGGTAAAAAGGTGAAAGGATTAAGAAGTGCACAATGGTAGTTACATAGTAGTCGTGGGGATGTAAAGTACAGCATAGGGAACACGGTCAATAACATTACAATAACTATGTATGGTGCCAGGTGGGCATGGAAAATACGGAGGTGAAACACTTTGTAAAGTATGTGACTAGCTAACCACTATGCTGTACACCTGAAACTAAAACAAAATAATACTGAATGTAAACGGTAATTGAAAAAAAATTAGAAAAAAACCCCCACAGACATCATCTCCCCCAGACGGCACTGATTACTCCACTTCTGTGATAATCTGAGACACTGCACATGCATGTCGTACTGTGTTTCACTTTTTCACCTTAAACCCAACGTGGTAATACTTGTTTATCAGTTGGGCTTCCCCATAAACTATGAGGCCTTCAAAGACTGGGGGGCCTAGTACAAAAGAAAGTGCTCAGTAAATATTTGCTGAATGAATGGACACATACATAAACAAGTGAGTGAGTGAGTGAATAGACCATCCTGCACTATTCAGATGTCCAAACTTTTCATGATTGTGCTGTATCTAGAAACATTCTTTCTTGCTCACCCAAAGCCTTAGGAATTCAGTTCCACCTCTTTCCACATTCCCCGAATCTTCAGCGACTCAGATAAGCCCTGTGTTTGTTTTGGTTTTATTTTTTCACCAACATGGTAATTCTGAGATCCAAAATGCGTATGGAAAAGTTGCAAGTTGGCTGCTATAATTGATTCAAACCTCTTTAATACACAGGAAAGAGGAGAAAAACAGTTCACCAGAATCCTCCAGAGTTTGAGTTCCTCAAGAGATGTCCTGAGCTGTGCCATCCTGCTGATGGTCATTAGGCTTGCTGATAACCATAGATGGTACTCTGAGACCGAGCTCCCAGCTCCAATTCTAGAAACATAGATCCTTAGGAACTAGAAAGAATCTTAAATGACTTACTCCTACTTCTTTATTTTACTGATGAGTAAACAGACCCAGAAAGACTGTCTCCTGTCCAAGGTTGAAGAGCTTGAGCAAGAATCACTGTATAGGTTTCCTGACCTCATTTTCCAAATGCCAGCCACTGAACAAGCAGGTCCTTTACAGCCTGGACGTCAACCTGCCTAGCTAAGCTGGGTAGCACCGATCTGCCCCGTCTGTGGGCTCACGGAAAAAGCTAGAAGGAAAATGAGGTGAAAGGTTAGCCACTACTTACTTGAAGGGCTTTTCTCCAGTGTGGGTTCGGATGTGGTTGTTGAGAGTGGTGGCCCCAGCAAAGGCACGGCCACAGTAGCCGCACTTGAAAGGCCGGTCACTGGAGTGAGTGACCACGTGGTTCCTCAGTTCTGAAGGCTGGGAAAAGGACTGGGAGCAGTGACCACATTGGTAGGGTCTGAAACAAATAAAGAGACTGCCCGGTCATTATTTGCTATGTTAGTCAGTGGACATCAGCATCGCAAGGCAAAAGTCACCACTTTTTGTTGACATTTTCTGTTTTGCATAGTACTTTGGCCACTGGGTTCCCCTTACCTTACTTGTTGCCATAGGAACAAAATTCACAGAACTGCTGAAACATTAATTTCCAAACAATTATTTTTTTTTGGTATTAACTTTACCATTTTAAGAGCCCCTGCTTTCTTGTTTCTATCGCTTCCACCAGGCAAATATTAATGTATTTGGTGGAGCATGAAGAGTACAGACTTAACTAACTGGGATGTTACAAGTCAACAGATACTTGACTCTCATAATTCCATAGCACTTTTAACTTTTCAAAGGGGCTTAAAATCACTTATCTAGTGTAATCTTTACAAAAGTCCTCTGGGGCAGGCAACACAGTCCTTATTATCTATGTCCTTTCAGAAAACTGAGGATAAACTTTCCTCACAGGAAATAAGCTCTTGATGCCAAGGGCAGGGGTGTCCAACCCACAGTCCACAGGCTGCATGAGGCCCAGGATGGCTATGAATGTGGCCCAGCACACAATCAATCGTACATTTACTTAAAACATTACGAGATTTTTGTTTTTGTTAGTGTCTGTGTGTTTAACGTGTGGCCCAAGACAACCCCTCTTCTTCCAGTGTGGCCCAGAGACGCCAAAAGATTAGACACCCCTGTGCACTTGGATCTTCTTCTAGGCGCCAGGTAAACGTGCAGGGGGGGCATGTTTGCATGCAGCGCATGCTGCATGTGTGTTTCAGTAAATGCTAAACTCTCTTGGGATCTGTCCACGGCACGGCCTCAACTTGCAGTTGTCTGATATCACACAGATGAGCAGAGGTATGCACCAGATAGATTTCTTTTTCAAATAAATCCTGACTTCTATTTACTCCCCCCACCAACTAATATTTATCCATTGGATAAACTGGGCCTTGTTCTTTTCAGCTCCCCCGTTTAATCTGGCAGGAAGCGGTGACTTAGAGCAGTACAGAAATGAGGGGATGCCACTGTGCTTGCCGAAGGGTGACTGTGACGCAGAAACAAATGGAAGGAAGTTGTGACAAACACCTGATAATTAGCTGGATTATCAGAGAACATTCTTCTCATCTCAGGAGAATTAAATCAATTTTTGGTTTTCATAAAATAGACGAAAACTCTGCCTCCTCCACAGAAGTTCTTCAGTTTACTTATGCAGAATCTGCTGAGTGATACTGAACCTGGGGTGTTCTCCCTATTTGAAACAATTTCATATCATTCTTTGACAGGGCTCTAATTTGTTTATCAAAATTTTTGTTAGGAAAATTGAGAATCTGTCATGAGGGATATCAACAGCACTCACAAAGCCCTGGTTTGTGGCCCACATGTTTCTGGCTGCATTTAGAAAGCCAGCAGTGAAGGCAGATTTTAATTGTTCACACTTTAACAAATACATAAGCTCCAATGACCAGAAACCAAACTGTAGGGCCAGGAGACAATGGTGACCGAGCATGTACAACAATTCAATTAAGTGCAAAACAAAGTAGACCCTCTCATTTGTCAAGTGAGGTGCTTAATTGTGGCCACTTGCCTCACTGAACACAAATACTACTATTTTACCAGACTTCAGCACACTGAGCACTGATTGTAGAATTTTTTAGCTTGATTAATAGTCCAGGATTGATCAATAACTCAATACTATACAATTTTAATTACTTACATTTACAAATCTATTTAACTGTTCTCAAACAGGTTTCAAAGAAATATATAAGAGTCCTTGATAAGGAGTTTATCAATCTTGACAAATTGCACATGTATTTTATTATAATTATAAAATAACACTTTGAAAGTCATTAAAATTATATATAGATGAAAATGTCCTCCTGCCAAATCTGTTCTTTGTTGTAACTATTAACCTCAAAGAGTTTCTCAAGAAATCACTCTCTTAGGTGTGAATTTTTTTAATGTTATGGGAAGATTATAAATAAAATAATACATTAATACATGCTATATCCACTGACAATAGATTTTTCTAATAGTGAAGGGACCATTAACATTTATTAGCCTCTGGTTATCTATTTTTAATACCTATCACAATAAACAATAAGCCACTAAATAAAACCAATTAATCTTTTCTTTTTTTTTCTAACTCTGCTGTCAAAAGCTGGAGTGATTTATTTCCCATAGTCAGAAGTCCATCCATCCTTTTTTATGCTAACAGTCGCAAAGATTTACACACAGAAGAGCAGCAATGACCACAGAGAAGCTCAGGTTGAATTCTTATATCAAAGTAATACCAGTGAAAGGCAAATAGGATTCTAATACATCACCCTTACCCAGCACCAGCCTGAGAGGGGTTTGCATCCAGTGACCTACGGCACAGCTTGGAAACATTGCAGAATTTAGCTTGAATGAATGAAAAGGTCTGGGACAGGAAAAACACGAGAGGTGAGTCCTTCTTCAGCCTCTGATCCCACTCAGCCGAGGGACTTGGACAAGTCACTCAACTTCGCCGAGTCTACTTTTTCACCTCTCATCTCTCTGGAAGGGGGTTGGCCTGAACTAAATGCTCTGTGGCATCCTGTCATGGTCTCTTCCTGCTTTCAAATGTGTGCTGCCTGAGATCTGTCCAAGACACAGCCTTACAAGTAAGAGCACCAATAATATAATATATGATTTCTGCCTTCCCTCACGTGTGCTAGCCAGTCCCCTGTACATAGAAGGGCTTTCTACGGTTGTGTGTGTGTGAAAGATTTAAACTCATCAGGTACACAGTTGTGAATCAGAGCAGCAAGAAAACCTATTACCAAAATGTAGGACCAAATCTTATCATAGGTGATTTCAAAAACCAAAGTGATTGCTCTTTCTTCTTAGATACCTTGAAGAATAAGATTTTAGACCATAAGGTTACATTCAGCTTTGTAGAGCTGTCTTTATGCAGAATTTAGAACTAAAATGTGTCTTCCACTTGCCACTATAAAAACAGATTGTGTTTCTCAGCCTAGAAATTTATAGAAATTAGCCCTAAAAAACCACAGAAGTTATACAGTGAGTAGACAAGATTCCTTCTTTTCCTGGATTGTCAATATTTCTTCAAAAATGAATAGAAGTAGCCCTGGCTGGTGTAGCTCAGTGGATTGAGCACTGGCCTGTGAAGCAAAAAAAAAAAAAAAAAAAGATCGCAGTTCTATTCCCCATCAGGGCACATGCCTGGGTTGCAGGCCAGTTCCCAGCAGGGGAGGCACCAGAAGCAACCATACATTGATATTTCTCTCCTTCCCTTCCCTTCTAAAGATAAATAAATAAAATAAAATAAATGACTAGAAGCAAATGATCAAAAAGCCATTTTAGCCCTGACCAGTGTGGCTCAGTGGGTTGGGCATTGTCCTGCAAACAGAAGGTCTCTGGTTCAATCCCAGGTCAGGGCACATGCCTAGGTTGTGGGTTTGATCCCCAGTCAGGGCATGTACAAGAGGCAACGAATTGATGTTTCTTTCCCTCTCTTTCTCCTTCCCTTTCTCTAAAAATAAGTAAATAAAATCTTTTTTTTAAGTAATTTTAACATTGATTACATCCTAGAGTTTCATCTAAGGACATGAGAATACATTCAAAACAGAATGAAATCCTCAAACCTGAGAGCAAGGCCTAGAAAACATCATCACTACTGTGGAATCTCAAACATCACAACTTCTTTTGGGACCACTGGCCACGGGAGGTAAGACCCTGCATGCGTGTTCAGTCAGCACACCCTGACACCTCACCTCCCAGTTTACTGCTGGGCGTTGTTGGGGACACAGGACTAACTGTCATTACTCCCTTCTTATTCTGATGACTAACATTCCCACTAACTTTTCAAAGCTCTAGCCAAAAGGTACGATGATGTATCAAACTTTTAGATACCATTGAGTTCACCTCCAAAGTTCTGTCTCCCGTTGCCCAGCCATAGCAGAAGAAGCAGGGGTGGACTCACTGACCCACTAAGAGAGCTGCGTTCAACTTCCCTCCTTCCAGGACCTCACGTCAGTAAACAACTAAATGGGAATCTCCTTCCTAATGCACTTTGATTCTCCCCAAGCCACCATACACAGACAGCACTTTGTTATTCTCAAAACAAATCCAGTGAGTGTTCCTCACACAGGGATAGCAGCTCACAATCAGAAGGAGCTCAAGGCTCTTTTACTACTTGAGATGCCTAGCAGTGTTGTCCAATGGTGTAAATGTTCTATATCTACGTTGTCCAATATGGCAGCCACTTGCACTTGAAATGTGGCTAGGGCTACTGAGAAACTAAAGTCCTTATTTTATTTAATTTTGATTAATTTTAATTTAAACAGCCTCATGTGGCTTACTTCCCACATAAATATCAGACTTCATGGAAAATTACAAGCTGCTCCATAGTCAATAATGAAATAACTAAAACTTGGGTGAAAGACACAGTCTGGGTCAATTGAGTTAGCACACATCCATGCTGTAAGGTTTTAAGCAGAAAGCAGTGAGACGATTTTGTACATCTCCTGGCAATTTCCGTAACTGGCAGCTCCTCTGCCAAAGATTAGTCCAGTAAAATATGCAATTAATTTACTCTGAGTCTGTATTTGGTTTGGTGTACACAGAGGGTAAGAATGAAACATTTAACAAAATTAAGTGGGGTTTGGTTTAAAATATTACTAATATGTCTCTAATTCTTCTCATGGCATGAAAGCCTCCAGGATAAAAGTTGGTGAGTTGGGGCCACATTCTCTCCTTAGGTCACTGTTGGCTGTGTGGAGTGAGGAATGACCTTAGTTCTATGTAAGGAGAAAAAGATTTCACAAATGTGGCAGAAGTGCAGAGCCAAAGGACATGGAAAACATGGAATGCTAGGAAGAAGATAACCTTCACACTTGGGGGCGGGGGGCACTGGAACGCAGGAGCACTGACACATTCCAAAGAAACTATTATGGTGATGGATTATCTCCTGGCTCCTCCCACCAAACAGCACCTTCCAGAATTATCTTCCCCTCTGGTACCAATGCACCCATATACAAACAATGATACTCAAAACACACATGAGAGCAGCTGAGTGAGGTGCACCCAGCAGGCTAAAGGCAAACTTTCCCCGCATGGCACAACCAACCAAAACAGAGAAAACAAAAGGAACAGGATGCACGATGAAGCTAATAAGCATTATAAAGACAACTTGTGCAAAAAATAAAAGAGAATGAGTTCCTTAGTAAATAATCCACTGTGATCGAAGGCTTTGTTTACCTTTTTTCTGGAGCCCCCCCTTCTCCCCCCACCAATGGGACTGTTGAGAGTTTCTGCAGCAGAAAAACAGAAGACAAAAGGGATTTCTAACTCCTGGTTCAAGCAATAGTGAGTCAAACTGCCCCAGGTTAGTTAGTTAGGTCATAAGCTTATGTAAAACCCCAAATGTTTATGAAGTCCCTAAATAAAATCGTGGTTGAACTAGATTCCAACAGCTTCTTCCCTCTGAATTTACTTAGGGGGAAAAAAGTCAGTTGACTGGGGAAAAGGAAGAAGAGATTTGGGGGTTTGTTTAATATTAACAGAACAGAATCAAGAAATAGCAATTCTGTGGCTCTTTGTACCCTTGTGGTGTATTTTTACCTTTCACATTAACTCCTACCTTACTAGGTTGCATGGAACCGTTTTTCTGTGTTCACTGTAAATAATGCGATGGGTTTTTTTAATAAGAAAAGGTGATGCTGGCAACCCTGGATTTCCGTGGATCTCTTTTCTTTATATCAAGACGTAGATTTTGTGATGGTCCCTCACATGAAAAAGCTCACAAATGTAGACACACACAGTCTCTTTCATGAAGGTTCAAATGTCTTAGGTTTCATGGCCAAATATTCTAGTCTGTTGAGTGAAAAATCTTTTGGACCCAAGATTCAGGGGGCTGTTTCAAATTTGGATCTGTTTGAAACTCTAACCTGTTTACCTTCCGACTTTGTCTTCTGTGTCTCCCTTTCTTGCCTCTGGTTCTAGCAAGATTTTCCTATCAAAATAAAAGTGTTTGAGTTTTTCAAAATCAAAGGGCAATGGTTTCTGACTGTGAGCGCTAAGCTTTTTCACTGTATAGGCCTGAACAGGCACAAACTGCTGGAGACGGACAGCCACGTGATTTATGCTTCCTCACTAAAGAAAATACGTATGTTCAGCAGTTGCCATTCTTTGCATGGACGAGAAAAGGCTCCAGATTTTGCAACCATCGTGCATAAATGTGATGTTCCATTTTAGTTTTGTATTTTTCTCTTATTTAGCACCCACGTAGTTAAGAACTATGGAGAGAATCTTTTACTTCCAAACTTGCTGGTGCACAGAGAACATTCTAGCTTCTGGAACTGAGAGGAATTATTCCAGTCCTATCTGCTAAAAGCAAAGCATGTCTCTAGAATGAAACTAGTGGGTCAGCGTGACTGGGCATCTCCTAGTTTCCTTTTGTCTCCAATAATATTCTCCGAAGTAATGGAGTAATTCAAGTATCTCCTCATCATTACTAAGAAACATTGTACTTTTTCACTTTGCCTATGAAGGGACTAATTTTTTTGAAGTCTAAATTTTAACTTATTTATGGTGACGGTGACCACCTCCCATGTCCCCCAGAAAGCACAGAAAGGGAGGAGCAGGAACCCGCACTTCAGTAGCTGGATCCCTCTCTGACTGTCTATGCAGAAGTCCAGCACCCGGGACTCGGCTCACCCAGAAAGGGAAGGTCTGGCCACACCTCCTCGGACTTGGACATCTGAGAAGCGCATTGGCGTCTAGCACGGGACAGGAGTCTCATGCCACTTGGATTCTTGCCAAGAACTCTACACTAGCTTGGAACAAGCATGGATGTAACAGAACCTCATGCAAGTGTATCTTGTGCACAGAAGTTTCCTAATTTGTCACATACTTCCCTGACAGTCTATATAGATCTGTTACAAGTTAGGACACTATTGTAATACACATATGGTTTTCTAAGTATGACTGAGGTCAGTCCAATCAGTCTGTTTTGGTATCTTCCTCTTTGTCACGATGTATTTCCATGGCTTCATGTGACGTTCAGCGTGGAATTATAACAGACTAAAAGCTAAGCTTTGAAATCCAGAAACTTCCAACTATCATTTCATTGTACCTTGCCTGTTCAGTTATTCTGACAACAAATCTGTGCAAATAACAAATCTATCCATTTGAACTCACTCAATTTAAAAAGTAAGTTTAAAATAACATGATTTAGTGCATCTTGTTACTACTAAACTACTAAAATGCTTTGCAAACTTTGGATAAATATATCTTGTGGCTATATATATATATATATATATATATATATATAGTATATATATATATACTTCCTTTGCAAGGAAGGCAAACTTTCAGGGAAAAAAATCCTTTCTGTGTGAAGAAGATATCTTCAGAACGTCCGTGCCCCCTCTAAGGCCAGCAGTACTAATTTCCACCGGGGGTGGGGGGGGCAGGGGCTCTCCTATTGAAAGTAAAAGATTGTAAAGACACAGCTGCCTTAACAGTTCTAAAGCAAATGTTCACACATTCATTAGTTACAGCAATGCTCCTCCATGGCACAAATACAAACATGTACACGGGTAAGTGTGCACATGGACCCTAAAATGGGTTATTATCATTTTAGGCAACATTCATCCACACCCTGTCTACCACACCCTGACTCTCCCTGCTGGGCTTCCTAGAATACCATCATAGCCTGCAGAGCTGGGGGGTGGGGGGACATTATAAAGGCAAGGAGAACCAAGTGGCTTAAGCTAAATCCAGTGGCCAAATTAAGAAAAAATTCAGGTCTTGCTTCCTACTCTCTTTTCCTGCTTCCCCAAAGTATTTCCTGCTTTTATATTCAAAGTGCATTTTTCAATTCTATTCTTAGATATTTGGGGTTTAATCAAATTTTCATACACTGTGAAGAAGAGATAAAACACAACCCTTTCTTTCTGAATTAATTTGATTTTTGTCTTTGGCGCTCCCAGCCATCAAGACTGTCCAATAAACCAGTTTTGATTCATAAATAATAGTTCCATTATATCTACTATGCCACTCGTCAGAGTACCTGAAATTTTAATTCACTTGTTCAGCTGAATTTCATCCTCTCAGTTCACGGCCATAAAATTCTTTATTGACAAACTTTCAAACCAACTTTGACTCTGAGGTATCTAGTCAACATTTTTCTTCTGTGTGGATATTAGTTTATTGAATAAGTGGCATCTGTTTTCCTCCACATCACTGGCAGAGGAGGTATTTCCTTTTGACAGCTTTGCAGGATTTATGGGTTTGCATGCTCTGAAGAAAAATAGTACTAAGCAAAAAATTCCAATTCATTACCTCTTAGTACTTAATTAAGTTCATAGCGCGGCACACCGGAGGTGAACCCTGAAATGACTGTGACAGCAGCAGAGCAGCCAGCTATATTATCTTCGGAAGACAGAGAGGGTTCTAATTATCCTGACCTCGTTTTCCCATCTATGATATTCACAACTGCTCCTTCTACTTTGCTCCCCGTTAGGCTTGGGAAGAAAGGAACTGTTAGGAAAGCAAGAGCAGAGCCGTCTGGATAACCACTGTTCGTGCAGCCCTTCTAAACAATAAAGGCATGCCTCTGACCTTCCAGAATGCAGACACCTCTGATCACCGGGTGCGCTGCAGCGGGTGGCTGGAGGTGGTGGAACCTGTCGGGAAGGCAAGCAGCGGATCTCACTAAGCAAACACACCACGAGCAGGAAGAGGCGGGGTTACCTGTCGGGGTTCTGTGTGCACACGTGCATCTGTAACAGGATCCTCTGCGTGAAAGTCTTAAAGCACTGCCCGCATTTCCAAAGATGCCAGTCACTGAACTCCGAGTGCAGCTGGCTTGTGGACGTGGGGCTTGCAAGGACTCGCTGGTTTTTCACGCTGATCTGGTTGTATCCCGATTCCAGGGGCCCAGATTTATCCAAGAGAGAGAAGTTCCTGCTGCACGGAGTCTGTGGGAAAACGACGGAGCGCTGCTGAGTGGCTGGGGAGAGTTTGCTGCTCTTGCTGAAGGGCTGCAGGGCGTCCTGTCTACACATGGCTTCCATTACCGTGGAGGGGACATTTACTGGGAGAACAACAGAGTTTCAGAAGATCAGTTTTATTGGCCCTTAAAATAAACACAATAACATGCACATTAAAATTCTTTCTTATAAATCAACATTTTGAAACTTTGTTTTCCTGGACTCAGAATTAACCTAATAGCAGACAATTTGACTTGAGGGGGAAGCACTGTTATTACAACTTACAACTACTATATGCTCGGGATTGTTCATATGTGGCCTTGGCCCTCACGGAGTTTGCTTATGACCTGAGACATCAGGACTCCGTAAGGAGGCTGCACCCTGCACCCTGGGTTTGGAAGGAGTTCAAATGGGAGGCACAGCAAGAGAGAGGAAGAGAACATGGGCTGCCCAGGGAGGGTGGCTTTGAGCAGTGTAGGGAAGGTAGATTCAGGCCTTCCACCAGCCCTTGCCAACACAGGACAGGTATTCAAGAAAAACCGGCTGAAAAGATGAAGGAAACTAAAGAAGACATCTGGAGACAGAACTCTGGCACTGTGGCGAGAGTGAGAGAGACGGGCCAGCCGAGCAGGGCCGTGGGTTCTCAACACTGTGGGAATAAGGCAGGGGGTGGGGAGGGCAAGACCTTGAAGGACCTTTAAAGTCCAAAGGAATAAATAAACAAAAGACTTCGGGCCTAGCAAAAGGATGCAGACTATTTCTGAGCAGAAATAGCAAGAAAAAAAATGAATGTTCAGGGAAGGCTTGAGTGAGGCATGATTTAGACAGGGTGCCATGGATAAAGTCAGAATGGTAGGCAAGGAGCTAAGGTGCTCAGAACTTGGGCTTTGCAATCAGAAAGACCTAGGTTCAAATCCTGACTTTGCCTTTTATTAACCAGATGACCAAGTTAGTTAGTCTCTCTGTGCCTTACTTTCCCCATCTGTAAAATGAAGACAGGGGTAGTAACGATTCTAAAAGTAACAGCTGGGTGGTGTTTTGGTTGCAGTGGCCTAGATTTTAACTCCACTGTTTACAAGCTGTGTAAATAACTCCACTGTTTACAAGCTGTGTAAACAGCTATACTGTGCCCATAGTTATGGGCAAGTATAGAAGGCTGACATCTACTTTTAGTCCTTGGTAAAATGTAAAACAGTCACCCAAAGGCTGAGTGAGCCAATGCTAGGTCACATTTAGTAGATGTCACGATTACAACTCAGTAAATGTTGAGCTTTGTGAGCCCTGGCTCCCTAGACTCCCTCTTATGAGGTTCAAACGAGATGATGAAAACATTCTTCACAGGGCCTACCATTCACAAGAGCCAAATCTCACTGTTATAAAGGAAAAGAGATGAGAATGGAGACGAGCATAAACTGGTGTGGTGGCAGGAGGAGGGAGGGAAAACCAGAAGACAGGGAGGGAAACCCAATATACTTGAAATTTGTTTTTCTTTTTTTACATTGTTATTATGTTAATAACACATATCGTGTATTCACTGATCAACCCACAGGTTCAGAAGTGATTAGAACCTAATATGTTTAAAACTATTATTCTTATTTTTATAGTACCTACTGTGCCGATAAATGTGTTTATTGGTTATTTCAGGCATCGAAAAGATTAAAGACCTTAGGGTGGTCAAGAGAAGAAAATTAGAGACCAAAAAATTTAAAAACATTGATTGGCAAAGAGATTTGTGATGGGTGGGAAGTAACCCATGGCTGTTGGCCATTAGTTCAAGGCCACATGGAAGGAAACACATGAACTGCAGGCTCTTATCCTTTTAGCCATGGACAGCAGCTGAGGTTCCTATGCAGCATGGAAACTCAACACAGTCAACTAGAAGAGAGAATGGTAGAGGTCCATGCCTGCAAGGAGGCTCTGTCCTGAGTGGACAAGGAGATACCAAGTGTGGGGACATACAGGGGGCGATATGCTGCCACTAAGGACTCTTCAACTCAGAGCATCCTGTCAATCCTATGGAACCAGACAAGCCCAACAAAAGAAACAGCTCAGTCTAGAATACTCTGTTGGCATGTTCCACCCCATCCTGAGAAGAAAAATAAATCAAGAGACTCAGAGGCCTAAAAAGAGCCTAGAGTTTTCCTGTTGGTAGTGCTTGACCCTGACTGCACCTGAAACTCATAAGGGAGATTTTTTAGAAATTAAATCAGGCCCTGATCAGGTGGCTCATTTGGTTGGCGCTTCATCCCATGCACCAAAAGTCGCAGTTCAATCCCAGGTCAGGGCACATACCCGAGTTGTGGGTTCAATCCACAGTCAGGGTGTGAAGGGGAGGCAACCAATGAATATTTCTCTCACATCGATGTTTCTTACTCTTTCTCCCTCCCTCTTCCTCTTTCTCTCTGAAATGAATGAATATGTTCTCAGATGAGGACTAAAAAAATTTAATCACTTGGTAGATTCTAGACATCTTCATTTCTTTAAAGTTCCCCAAGCGCTTCTAATGTATAATTGGGGTTGAGTATCAGTGACATAATCCTACTCTCTCTTATTATTATAAACAAAAACAGCTTAAGCCTAAGAAGATTCAGTTACTTGCAAAGGGTCACACATTCAGTTAAGGGCACACACTGCTGAGCTAGAAGCTTTAGCTTTTTGACTCCCAGAGAATCTTTTCTGACCACACTCATATATTGTCTCAGCTCACCGGGTGTATTTCAAACAGAAAAAGGACATTTTACAGCTAGTACATCTCACATGAACATATATATCTCACATGAACATATATACTACAGACATATAAATACATATATACTTATACACATACATATATACAGGTTTATGTACATGTACGTATGCATTGTTATATATAAATATTTATGTATAATTTCAATTTCTGGAGAAAAGTATAGAATGAAGAAGAAATTTGTCCACGCATTATACACTTTTAAAAAAATCTTTGGTTGCACACAGACTGTTTACTCATTGAAAGATAAGGAAAATGTCTTAATATATTTTGGCACTTTTTAATAAAAAAAAAAGAAGATAGGATTGTCAGAGATCAGGGTGGAACTCATCTTGTTTAGCCCATTCATAACTAATCCGGAACAGACAAAGCGCAGGGAAACCCACAAATCGCGAGTTTTCGGGCAACACTAAGCTCGTGCAGACGGGGAAATGCCGCACTAGCAGGAAGGCAGGCACGGGGGGGGGGGGGGGGGGGGGGGGGAGACTGTGGAATGAAGATGTCATCAACATGCATGAGAGCAGGAAATCCGGCCTGAAGCTCCACTGTGGGGAAGAGGGTTAGGATGCTTCTGGGGGAAATAATACTCTAAGTGTAGATTATAAGTTCTGGCATCTCGCTTATGCTCCTGGAAAGTGACCTAATAAGTTAATTTTCAAAAACTGTTATGGCCACAAACCCTTTATATTAAAGAATCTGTGGGCCAATGAATTTTTGCTGGATTTAATGATCAATGTCAAAATGGTAATAAAGAAAAACTGAGGCCAGTTCTTATAACAATCTAAGATATATGGGATCTGAGTTAGTGGTAGTAACAGCAGTATTTAGGCAGTAAGAGTTGGAATGGTGGGAATGAAATTATTTTCTGTCTCATTACTTCTTCTCTGGGACACCCCAATACTAATGTAATTTTTTTTATGATACTGGTAGCAATGCCTGCACTCTGTATTCTACTCTGGCATGATCCTTTACTGTAGTTGTGAATAAATTCAATCCTACTGAATAGAATGAGCATACAATTTACAGAGAAGAAAAAGTACGGAGAGGAATAAGTAATTGTTTTGCTCTCTAAACTGTCCTGCAGAGCCCCAGTACACTTCCACGGAACTCCAGAGGTCTATAAAGTATAATTTTTTAAAGCAGGACCTAAAGAATGCAAACGATTATTCTTTCTAAATACCAGCCTGATTTATGACAATGATCAAAAGCATTAACAAAATGCAGGGAATTATCAGAAAGAAAATAGGAGATGAATTCAGAAAACGCTATCTCATCCCAGATCAAGACAGTCCAGGTAACTCAAAGGCCCAGAGACGACGAACCGAAATGATCAAAAAGATGAAGTAGTTTCTACCTGAAGACATACTGGGCTAGTAAAATCTCTTCAGTCTACAAAACAAAGATTAAGGGAAGAGGGCAAACTCTTAAAGCCCTAGAAGATATAGTAAGGATGAACATAAACTCATTAAATCCTGGAAAAGTAACACTCGGAAGGGCAAACTCAGGATCTATAAAATGAAGTTCTGCGTTACTCCCCGGTCCACTCATTCCACCCACAAGCAGCGTCTGAGCGCCCCTTACACGCCTGCCGCTGTGTGCGGTGCTGCAGCTACGGAGGGAGCGAGGGAGCCACAGCCCCTGTCCTTGCACCACTTCGACTCCATGAGAGAGACGGCAATAAACAACAGTTTTTACAAATCAGTATTTACTCGGTTTTAGCAACTCTAAAATTCCATTAATGGCAAGTCGTATCACTAAATGTAAGTCACCATTCATTGTAAGATATCTTCCAGGCTCAGAAGGTGTAACATATAGAAAATATCTGAATTTTAGATTGACAACCCAACAGTTGATACAAGTGCTAAATGTGCCACGAGAGAGAAGGGGTGCCAGGGAAACACGTATCCATGATGGCTAAACGTGGGCGTGAGGGATGGCTTCCCTCAGGCAGTGGCCTTGACTGTGAGTCCTGAAAGGTACCCAGGGCAGACAGGGGTGTGAAAAGAGGAAAAGGCAATGCAAGGAGAGGAAACACTGGCAGCTATGCCGCAGAGTCTTTGTGTTGTTCTTCAGGCACTCAGAGCTCTGAAGAAACTGAGAGAGTTTCTGTGGTCAGAGAAAGAAGGGGAGAGGGGCTGCGGCTGGGGCTGGAAAAGAAGGCAGCGCCGCCGCCATTGCCTGTGGGAGCTGGGCAGGCAACAGAAATAAGGGACGGAGACAAGCCCGTGAAACGGAGGATGCTGGGGTCTGCAGCAACCCGAACAGGGCACGGCCAGCTGAATGATATGTGGTTCCAACGTTGTCAAACATTATGTGAGCCTTGCAAAATATTTCTGAAGACTGTATGTGGCCCAAAGG